AAAACATTGTTATGGGAAGGTGAGGAAAGTTATTGTTTGGTTTGTTTGTTTGGGTGTTTGTTTTGGCTTTCCTCAAAACACTTTTTTTTCCCCCTTAGCTAATTTTAAGATTCCAATATTCACAGCATGTCATAATTAAACATCTCCTAGGAAGTGCACAGTCTGATTAGCACATTAACTCAGGCATAAACCAGCCGTGACCATGTTGCCTCCAGGCCTGGGTCAGCCTAGTCTGGGAAAAAACAATTCTGCTGAAAACTCCTACTAAGACATATTAAATCCCAACATTATTTTATCTTCCATCATTTAAGATCTTCTTTTCCCTTAACCCTTAATTTTGGTCTGAGAACAGTCACCAAGGCTACTAGTAATAAAAATGGATACTCCAGTTCTGAATTTTACCTTCATTCTCAAAGTCTCCCACCCCAGAAAGCTAGGAAGATATGGGAGACGTCAGAGATATTTTTATAGTTATATGCCAATAACTAGAGTGCACAACTTCCTACCCAATATTAACTCCTGTTCAGGAGAGAGCGAACAAGAGGACTACCCATATGCTGATGTCTTTTTATTGGGCTGATTGGTGACTAGTGGCTTGCCTTAAAGCAAAACGATAAATGCATTTGGCCATGAAGGTAGGAAAATCTCCCCCCACCACAGCCAACACATATACTGTCCAAAATGGTACCCACTAACCACACATGGCTATTGAGCATGTGAAATGTATCTAGGGCCACAAAAGAACTGAATTTTTAGGTTCATTGATTTCATTAATTTAAATTTTTTTTGAAGATTTTTTTCATATGGACGATTTTTAAAGTCTTTATTGAATTTGTTACAATACTGCTTCTGTTTTATGCTTTGGTGTTTCGGCTGCCAGGCATGTGGTATCTTAGCTCCCTGACCAGGGATTGAACCCGCATCCCCTGCATTGGAAGACGAAGTCTTAATCACTGGACTGCCAGGTGAGTCCCTTAATTCAAATTTAAAAGCTGATATTCATTTGTGTTACAGGAAAATCTTTAAATATGTTTGGAACAACTTGGGTATGTGAATCCACTTTTTCATCTGTAAAATTTTATGAAATTTAAACACAGGTCAAGTATTTCTGATGAAAATTTAGTGACTGAATTGTGATGTATATAAGTGTAAAATATACACTGTATTTCAAGAACAGGCAAAAATAATGTAAAATATCTCAGTAATAGTTTTAAAAAATACTAACCACATGTTGAATGCTTCAATCTATTACAGTACTTTGGATATATTATTTTAAATAAAATATATTGTTAAAGTTAAATGCCACTGGCTTCTTACTTTTTTGAATTACTACTGGAAAATTTTAAATTACATATGACTCACATTATATATCTATTGGGCAGCACTGATAAAGAGTAATACTAACCAGTAACATAAATATCTGAGATGGGCCAGTGAAGTGGTTTAGAAAATCTGTGTAGCTACCAAACGTAAGGTAGATAGCTAGTGGGAAGCAGCCGCATAGCACAGGGAGATCAGCTCGGTGCTTTGTGATCACCTGGAGGGGTGGGATAGGGAGGGTGGGAGGGAGGGAGACGCAAGAGGGAAGATTGGGAACATATGTATATATATAACTGATTCATTTTGTTGTAGAGCAGAAACTAACACACCATTGTAAAGCAATTATACTCCAATAAAGATGTGAAAAAAAAATTAAATAAATAAAAAGAAAATCTGTGTAGTATGAGGGAAAAGCAAAAGGCCAGAGAGCACTGCATTCAAATCCTAGCTTTGACACTGACCACGCAAAGGAACCTGATCAAATCATTCATTCAGATTCCTCAGCCAATACTTTCCCAGGTGCAAATGGGAAGAATAGTTTCCTAGCTCAAACACAGCATTTGTAAAGTGACTAGTATATCATCAGTATAAATAAAGAGTTGAATAAATCATCTTTCAATAGAAAGCAGAGATTTCAGACCACTACAAAGAATTTACTGCTTCTGAATGTCTATGTCTTCCTGCAAATGAGCTATACCCTGTGGACCCTTTATTCCTATAAGACTAGCACAACTTTATTATTACTTTACATTTTACAGATGAATAACAGCAACCTTAGACTAAAGGCTATTACCAAAATGTTCAACATATGGAAGTACCGTTTCCATTTGTGTTTTAAAGTGGTAGCAATCAAATTCATTTCCAGAAATACCATCATAATTTTTATGAACTTAAAATTTACCTAAAAGAGACTTATAATATCAGAGTACGTATGTCCTTTTCAGGATTTCCACAGTTCTATCATGGTGGGACCACGTTCTTGTGAGTGTTTGGTAGGCTCTAAGAAAAACTGCTCTAAGGCATTAAGTTCATAACACATAGTTATTAAACATGTAAAACATGGGAGCCTGCAATACTTATTTTAAAATTAATTTATCTCATCGTTATACTGTATTTCTTTGCAATTTGAAAAATGCCTGCAAATTCTTATACTATGCAACAATGCCACAATCATCAAAAGATTAGAAAAGATAAGCCAAGTACAAATAAAATACTCCTTCATTAAACAAATAGTCAAACTATAGATAGAGTTCCTTTTTCAGTAAAAGTATGGATGATATCTATTCCAAATGGTGTAGATAAATTAATGACTAGAAAATTCAGATAGGTGATTACTGAAAAGTGAGACGCTTGTAAGTCGTCTTTCTTCCTTCGCCATGATGCTAAGAAGAAAAACTATTCCTTTCCACTATGACGCTTCATAAAATGTTGACTCCTGACTTGATGGGTTAAGGGTCAACTCACTATGATCATTCTTATGTTTCCATGAAAACTAACTTACAAGGACCTTTCTCTCCTTCATTCTGCCCCTTGCATTTTTTACTCATAATCTTCCATCGAGTCCTTTTTATCATTTTTGTCTTCATTCAACTGATTAATATTTATTGAGCCCCTACTATGTGCCAGCTATTCTGTAGGCCTCACCATTGAACCTCACTAGCCTGTAATATTATTCAAACAAAACCACTGAAGTGGGATGAGGTAGAGAGAGGTGAAACATATATTTTTTTAATTAGTTGGGTTGTATATGTGTGTGTGTGTGTGTATTCTTCGTATCTGACTTGTCACCAAAATTAATTTGAAGCTGTTACACAGCATCCAAACTCATAAAAAATTAACTTGTTGGTTTCCAACACAATTAATTTTTAAATAAGTTATCATTTTAGCTTATACAATGTCATAGAGCTGAAATCCAAAGTTCAATTATGACATTCCAAGTTGTCTAGGCTTAGATTTTATATTATTACAACTACGTCCTGATCAAGATTTACCATTTTTTAAAGGCAAATTTTACCATCGTAACTCTCAAGAGTTTTCTCCAAGTTGTTCATAAGTTATATAATAGATATAGCTCCCACTGAAAAACCTCATGTTTGCTAATTTATACCTAAGGGGGAATGTTTAGGAAACAAAGTAACATGATAGGCCAGTAAACCTTCCTGTGTTCCTTAGAGAAAATTTTTTCTTAACTTGTTTACTGAATTAGTGGTTGGAGTTTCCATTAGATTGTAAGCAACCTGAGGGCAAAGGGGAGGTGTTACTCTCTATGTGCCCATTTGAAAAGTAAAGGTTTCATGACAGTTTTCTGGATGGCTGGATTTCAGGTTGGTTGGACAAAAGAAAGAAATGTTCAGATTTAGGAATCTGCAATAAAATGAGTTTAATCTTTGAGTTTAATCTATGTTTATCAATCCATCAGGTGAAAATACAGATGTTGGGTGATTATGATGTGTCAATGTAGGTCATCAAATTGTAACAAATGTATCACTCTGGTGTGGAAGGTTGATAATGGGAGAGGTTATGCATGTGTGGGGATAGGAGAACACATGGGAAATCTCTGTGCCTTCCCCTCAATTTTACTGTGAACTTTAAACAGCTCTAAAAAAAATTCTTTAAAAAAACAGTTGTTAAACTTTAAAAATATCAACTGTGTGAACAACAGATATTGAAGATAGTACCTTACTGTATAAAATGAAATATAAACCAATTAATTCAGCCTCAATTTATTGCAGTCTTAACATGTGTCAAGCACTACTATAGGAGCTAAGGTTTAAAGATAAATGAGATCTATAACTGTAAAGCAGGAAATGGAAGGCTGGCTCCACTAAATTCATCTGAACTAATCAGAATTTTAAACAGTCATTAAACCATGAAAAAAACAATGCATCTCCTATTTAGAATGTATTTTCTCCCCCAATGAAAAGGAATGACAAAATCTGCTTTTTCAGATGCCCTAAGATTTTTCAATATTCTATATTTTGTGCTTTTGCTTAGAAAAAGCTGTCTCCTTGTATTGTACAAAGTAAGATGTCCTCAGTGCCACTGCCTTTTGTTCAGGAGACAAGTAGGAAGGGGAAGGAGAGGAGGAATAAGAACAGAAACATCATGGAATGGAGAAAAGAAAAATATCGACCTGAGATAAATCAGAGCAAAGTTTTGCACAATATCGTTCTCCTATTAGACCAGAGCACTGGAACCATAAGCAGCCGTTAACCTAGGGCAAGCCACTGAGAAATGCCCAGAAGTGAATAACCGCCTTAGACACATACTTTGTGAGAACTGACAGTAAAAGGAAACAGTGCAGAAATTCTCTGCAAGTTGATGGGCGGGCTGAAGTCTTGATTAGTAAAAATTAAAATCCTGTCATGGGTTGGTCCTCCAAGTGAAGGAGACCTCAGGACACTTTGCACCTGGCAAGGAGTAGCACTTTTCTCAGATACTACTAGCCCAACAGTTCACTTTAGAAGATACTATCTTTGGCTCTTAAAAGAGTCACTCGTTTTAACTTGTACTGGGGTAAATAATAAATCATGAAAACTTGACCACTTTAGAAAGTAACAAATGTTTCTGAAATGAACAACCCTCCCAGTGTTTCTTTAATGAATGTAAAAACTGACCAAGCTTTGTAGCATGTCTGCCCACATTAAAGCCATTCCACAGGTCAACCAAGTCCCACTTACCCCCAACATCTGGTGGAGGTAGTGATACTCTGGCCCTTGGTTATACAGCAGGAAGGTTTTCCAGAAAAGCAGGACATTCAGGGACAGCCAGATAAGCTAAATCATTCGAAGGGTGAGAGAAAAAAATTAAAAATAAACATTACCTGATGAATGGACACCTCAAGTACATTCATTGGACACAGTACTTTCAATGGAACCTCAATTAGTCATTGCAACAAAGTATTATTGGACGAGAAGTTGGGAAATTTATTCCCCTCCAGGCTTTCATTTCTTTCACTCAAAATAATTACTGAGAACCTACTCATGTTTCAAGCCCAGGGAAATAAGAATGAGCAGAAACAGAAATGTACCTGCCTTTGGGGAGTTCACATTTTATGAGAGAAATAGACATTAATCAAATAAACTCATGAAAAAAATATATAAATACAGGCTATCAGGCTGTGCAATGGCCCAGGGGTAGGGGTTGATGGGGGAGGCTGGTGAGCTCAAAGGGCTGAGAAAAGGGTTTCAATCTCCTCTCTAACAAATTAAATGGAAGTTATAATGCTCTCCAAAGCCTTTCCTATTCTGATGTTTTTTATGACTCTAAAACTCATATTATTTAACATGGATTGCAATAGTTACAGCTTAAGATTCTTATGATATGTTTAGAAAGTGAAGTGAGACTAGGAAAGAAGTCCAATCTTATTTCCTTAGCATTTCAAAGCTGTTTGAGGGTGCAACCAGAAACACGCAGGCAGGTGTTAAGATAATTTTTTTGGCCTCTTGGGACACTTCTATTTAAAACTTTAAGAACAATAAAATAACGCAAACATCCAGGAATTATTCTGTTAATGGCTGCATTCAGGAAATGCCACACAACAAAAAGACAAATAATATAAATAATAGACAAGCCCGTCCTTTGAGAATGTGTACTGTCTTAGCAGCACAATGGTGAATTCCTACACTCCTCAGATTATTGGGGGGAGTTGCCAACCACGGCTCCATTTGGGGTCTAAAGTTTTACAGCTCAGAACGCAGGGAAATTCTAGTTCAACAATGGCTCCATGGTATAGAGGAGGAGCGTGGGTATTGGCCTCTGGGAATCTACTACTTAATGCCTCCGAGACCTTGGGCAAACCTGTTACTGTCCATGTGCTTCAAATTCCTCGTGTATAAAATTAGGACGAAGGCAGGAATGGGCCTACCTATCTTACAGATCTGAGGATAAAATAATGAAAAATAATCAGAGAGGGGAGAGAGAGAGGGGGGAGGAAAGGTAATGAGTTTCTGTAGAAGCTGAAGGTAATCAGTATTTCTTACAGTTATTTTTGTGTTAAAAGTAAATTTTCTTTAATGAGCACCGCAATGGTATTTTTGTTTATTTGTTTGTTTTTCATTTAAAACATTGTCCTTACTAGCAGTAAAATGTGCATAGTCTGTGTTGGTTTCCATTTAGTTTTTGCTTTTTGAAATTTTATTTGTCTATGATATTCAGAAGTTTGGAAAAGGGTTCTATGTAGGGCAATTCCGAACCAAAGTTCACTATCATTCAGTTTTATTCAACAAACTTTTATTGAGCCTCTTCAGTCTGGCATTCTTAAATTGCCTTCACATTAGCAAGCGTTATTTTCCAACAAAGTATCTGACCCTTGAAGGCTTCAGCTTCTTCAGTATTTCTCAGGGAATTGACCCAGCTGTGTGAGTGCATGGTAGACATTCCTAAAGGCCTGAATCAGAAGATGGTCTTTCCCAGACTCACTTCATTTTCTAAACATATCATAAAAATCTTAAGTCATAACTATCGCAATCCATGCTAAATAATATGAGTTTTAAAGTCATAAAAAACATCAGAATAGGAAAGGCTTTGGAGAGCATTCTCAATCGACCAGCAAGCTGAAAACCACTCAGAGGAAAACCTATCTGACCTCACTCAGCCCCTGCACACCTGAGATTAAGCATCTGGGATGCAAACAGGTCTCCTAAAGATCGCAGTTATCCCCTTGCAGGACAAAATGAGACTAAGAAATGAGCGACATCACCATGTCCCGGGCGTTTCATGTTGTTAAACTTCAAAAATATCAATTGTATGAACAATAGATAATGAAAAATAGGACTTTGCTGTATAAAATAAAACCAACAGAAGCAATCTGGAAAAAGAGCAAAAGGTGGGGGGAGATGTTTAAATGGTTAAGGAAGAATCTGTGTTCACTAACAGCGATCTCTTCTCCCTTCCTCCACATCCGCTCTCCCATCAAAAGTGTAGGAAATTTGCCCAGCACTTGGGGGAAGGGAGGAAGCGGATGGTTATTACCTCCAGGTATTCCCGGCAGAAAGTTTTTGTTAGTTGAGAATGTTTGCGTTAGAGGCAAAACTTCCAGCTCCCCACCCGCGCTCGCTCAGAGAATGAATCAAAATCGCTGTCCCAGAGACAAAACGCCGGGAGAGCCTCGCCCGCCATCCTACCAGGCAGAGGTGTTTAACCCCTTCGTTGGCCAGCCAGCTCCTCCAGGACACAGCCATGCCGCCGGCCCCGCCGCGCCGCGCTCTCCGCCCGCCAGCCCGATAAGCAGCGGCGGCCGCCTGGGAAGCGGTTACAGTGGTGCGTGCGGCCTGCGGGGGGGCAGGGTGGGGACGGAGGGTCAAAGACTGAATGGAAGCCCGGCGCCGGCGCCGCGCCAGGCCGGGCGGGGTATGCGCCCCGGTGCCGGGTCTCCCGAGCGCCGCGGACTCGGCCCTCGCGGGGTGTGCGCTGCGCCCTCCGGCCGTCAGGACCCCCTGCGCCGAGCGCGCGCTCCCCGGCTGCGCGAGTCCGCCCCGCCGAGCCGGCCCCTTTGTCTGGGGGCGAGCCTGTTGCTGTGGCTGCCGCAGTGCAGGATGTCCTGGGCTAGGATCTAGGAGGCGTCCCCCAGCAGCCTCAGCCCGGCCTGCCCCGCTCCGAAAGACCCACCAAGATGTGGAGACTGGTACTCAGACATAGAGTGGACACCCTCGCTGCCCCCTTGGACTCAAACACACACACACACACACACACACACACACACACACACACACACACCCCTAGTCCTTTTGGACTGATCGTTCCCCCCACCCCCAAAGGTTCCTCTCAGAGAGCCTTGGTAAGGAAATTTGAGCCGGAAATTGTCTTTTGTGTACTAGCGTCCCCCTTCTCCCGCCCATCCTCAGCAACTCATCCCACCCCCAAGCAAACGCCCCCGTCACAACCCTTACCTAAAGCCTCCCTCTACCTCCCCCTTCCTACCCCCAATGCAAAGCTTTTAAGAAACTTCTGAATAAAGAGTCCTGCGGAGAATTAGACCGTGGTAATGATTGCACAACTTTGTGAATGTACTATAAACCACTAAATTGTACACTTTAAACGTGAATTTTATGGCATGTGAATTACATCTCATAAACCCATTATTTTAGGAAAAAATAATAATAAAAAAAATAAAGAGTCCAGGGGAGTTAATGGTTAAAACTGACGTAATTCTCAGGGGCTCTAGGGAAGCTCAGATTCACTCTATTTAGAAATGTGTGTTTTTCTACCTAGTATCAGAGTCTGTTAAGTAATAAGAATCCTCTCAAACTTGTACCAGAGGCCCGGTGAAGGGTGATTAAAGTGTGGAATGTTCACAGGCTACCTAGCCTACACTGCAACACATCAGTATTAGGGAAGAAACAAAAAATCATGCATGTGAAAGAATGTCCAGCGCAAAGTAAGTGTTGGATAAACGTTTGTTAAATCAGGAACTTTCTCAACTCTAGCAACTAATAAGTGGCAGAAAAAGTAAACCACTAGTAGCCTAATCTCATGGCTTTCAAGCTCTTTTTTATTTTAGTGAAATACATTTTACAACACATGCTATGATATATAATTGTATTAAATTATAATATATAATGTATAATTTCATAAAAATCATACTTCCTTTACTACATGCAGTGTACTTATCTCAATTAATTTCGTGAACTGATTAATGACTGCAACCCCCAGTTCAAAACACGAATAAATCAGTATCAAATCCCAGTTAGAATTCACAAAGTGCTCTAATAGTCCTGCCATCTCTTTGACATACGACTTTCCTGTTTCATGCATGATCTAAACCTGAAAACTGCCTCAGATCTTTCTGGGGCTAGGGAGTGTATTATTTATGAATAACCCTGTTCTTATTGACCATGTGATACCTGAGGACAAGAAAAAGAGCACAGGGAGTACCCCGGGGTGTCACCACTGGAGGCAGATCAAATTCTGGGACACGCTGGTATTCCTCAAATTCCCCCCCTAAGAAACCATCCTCCAACCACAATTTCAGTCGATGGGAGGTGGGGAGATTCTGGCACAATGGTCTGGTTCTTCTCGTGAGTTGAGAGGAGGGAAGCAACTGAAGAACAGTAGAATAAAAGGCAATTTTTTTTTAAGTTTAATTACTTCCAAAAAAAACAAAAAAACAAAAATAATGGATCCAGCTCTTACTATGTACTTACTGTGTCAGCCACTGTCCTGGGTACTTCATATACAAAATCTCACTTCATTCTCATAACAGCTCTACATGTGGATGTCAGTGCCCTTACTCCAGAGTTGAGGAAACCGAAGCTAAAAGAGATTAAGAAACTTGCCTGAGCAGGTGGGGAAAATGGGCAGACGTTGGTTAAAAGGTACAAACTTCCAATTATAAGATGGATAGTTTGGGGAGATCTAATACACAGCATGGTGATTATAGTTAACCATATTGTATCATATACTTGAAAGTAGCTTAGTGAATAGATCTTAAATGTTCTCTCCACACACACACACACACACACACACACACACACACACACACACACAAATGGTAGCTATGTGAGGTGACAGAGGTGTTAGCTAAAGCTCGGATGATAATTATTTTCCCATATATAAATGGATCAAATCAACATGACGTACACTTTAAACTTAGACAATGTTGCATGTCAATTATATCTCAACAAAGCTGGAAAAACATTATGTTAACTGGAAGAATACGAACATCGCAATAAAGATGAAAAACAACAAGTTAAAAGAGAAGAGAAATCTGTCTGAGATGACAAAACAGGCTTTTGCTTATAGTTCAAAAAGCCCATAATCAGATCCTTTTCTGAACTCTTTTGTACCATGATAGAATGCTATACAAACATTGATTATTATATTTATCACTATTATTTTATAAGAGCTCTGTAAAAGGGGACTAGGTCCTGTTTATGTTGCCTTACAAGGAAACAGTACTGCAAGCTATCCCCAGGGGACAGAGCTATTGCCATGTTGTGCAGGAACTCTCATTACTGAGGTTCTTTTCAATATAATTTTCTCTAGGCCCGACTGTTTAGTGCAAGTAGATACTGTCTTTCCCAAGATAAGGAAGGCTGTCCTTGAAAGTAATGAAGAGAGAATCCTGTAGCTGTATCAGTATTCCAAAAATCATAGCAACAACAACAACAAGAATAAAAATCACACTTTTACCAGGAAAAAACTTCACAGGAAAAAATCAAATGACAAATACCTTTGCTCTTGGCTGAAATAATGTCAAAATAGTAGTGATCATCCTACATTGATTATAAACTCTGTTTGGCAGTTTGAGATGTTCTTGGTCTATTATTTATTACTTACTAAATACAGAAACTTTGTTTTTTGGTAGACAGTGTCCCTCAAAATATGAAATCCATGGGGAAAAATTGATAAAATTTCCCCCTTTGGTCTGCTTCATTAGTCGGCTTCTTTATGTATCAGCTCAGAGGCACACCTTTGCCGTGAAGCTTTCCCTGGCCCACCTCACGTCTATGCTCACACAGACTCATCGTGTAGTCTGCATTCTTCAATGTGTTTATAATACTCCAAACACATGATCATTACTCCATTTTCCACATATTATTTTAGTTGTATGCATGTGACTGTGTGTGTCTAGTTCCCCTCATCAACTGACCTCCTCAAGGACAGGGATCTTGTCTTATTTAATTTTTATTCCAGGACTTTGGACAAAGATTGTTACATAGTAGGAACTTCAGAATGTTTGATATATGAATGAATAATAGTTAAGTATATTATCCTTCTTTTTGTGCCTCTCTCAAACTCCAGTTTCTCAAATGTAACTTTCCAATAATGTAAGAAAAGTTTCTGCTTGGCTCGATAATTAACTACCAGAAAAGAAACAACGAGGCAAGAACTCTTGCTATGGGTGTCACCTATACCACTAGTCACAGGATATGCAGCTGGGACAAGTGAGTACCTATATTAGCTTCCTGGGGTTGGGGTAACTATCACAAATTTAGTGGATTTGAGCAACAGAAATTTATTCTCTCATAGTTCTGGAGGTCAGAAATCCCAAATCAGGCAGTTGGGTCAAAATCAAGGTGTTGACAGGGCCCCAAACCCTTCAGAGAGTCTTGGGGAGAATCTGTTCCTTGCCTCTTCCCAATTCTGCTGGATGCTGGCGTACCTTGATTTATGGCTGCATCCCTCCGCTCTCTGCCTCAGTGATCACGTGGCCTCGCCTCTTCCATTGTGTGTATGTCAAATTACCCTCTGCCTCTCTCTTATAAGGACTGCTGTGATTGTATTTAGGGCTCAACAGATAGTCTAAGATAATCACCCTACGTCAAGGGCCTTAACTTAATTATACCTGCAAAACTCTTTCTGCCTTATATAAGAAGTAATATTTACAGGTTCATGGGATTAAGATGTGATATATCTGGGTGGTCATTATTCAGACTACTCTAGTACGTAAAGTTACTTAATTGTTGTTAATTTTCTTTCCCTGATTTCCCAGCCTGAGGGAAGGATTTTTGAGGAAATTCACCTTAAGACATAAAAGTTGGAACTTTTACTAAGCTTTTCTGTCAAGAAGTCAAAAATTATAGACCAGGAATCATGCCAGATAGAACTCAGCAAGCTTTCTTAACATTTGTGACTTAGACTGAGTTTAGTATTTTGGTTATCCCATATCTGATTATCAGCAGTTATTAGTATTAAACTCAAAAATGGAAAAGAGCCTGTGTGTTTTTCTTACAAACAGAAAAGAAGAAAGCAGGAAAACTCTGTCCCAGTATGCAGCATAACTGGTAAAGTGGGCAAAAGAATCCTAAAGTTGTGAATAGCTGACAGCCGTATTAAAGAGAAAAGGAAGCTACACTTTATCCCTGGGACCCTTGGCAAGGAAGCAGGGCCCCCAGGGAACCAGCAAGAAATGGCCCAAAGGCTTAACATTCACAAGTCAGGGGACAAGTTCCAGACAGTGACTCATTGTCATTTCTACACAAAAACAAGTGTAGACCATCTTCTGATTCAGGCCTTTAGGAATGTCTACCATGCACTCACACAGCTGGGTCAATTCCCTGAGAAATACTGAAGAAGCTGAAGCCCTCAAGGGTCAGATACTTTGTTGGAAAATAACGCTTGCTAATGTGAAGGCAATTTAAGAATGCCAGACTGAAGAGGCTCAATAAAAGTTTGTTGAATAAAACTGAATGATAGTGAACTTTGGTTCGGAATTGCCCTACATAGAACCCTTTTCCAAACTTCTGAATATCATAGACAAATAAAATTTCAAAAAGCAAAAACTAAATGGAAACCAACACAGACTATGCACATTTTACTGCTAGTAAGGACAATGTTTTAAATGAAAAACAAACAAATAAACAAAAATACCATTGCGGTGCTCATTAAAGAAAATTTACTTTTAACACAAAAATAACTGTAAGAAATACTGATTACCTTCAGCTTCTACAGAAACTCATTACCTTTCCTCCC